TCTATGGAATAGATGCAAAAAATTAGAAAAGAAGTAGCGCATGCGCGAAAAAAATAATATTTTGTGTGTGCAGCGCATGCGCTGCACACGGTCCCACACGGTGCTCAAGGTGTGATGCGCATGCGCTGCACAATGTCGTCAACGTGTTAAAATTCCTTTTAACTAGTCATGAAAATCGCCAAATTGTGAGCTCGCCTAGGGAAGGTTATAATTTTTCAACAAGTGCGCTCCACCGTCGTTGCGTTGCTTGGCGAGCGGCCGTGTGCGTGTCCACTGATTACTGTAACTTAGGACTGCCAACGTTGCTGTTCTTTTCTCATTCTTGCTAACTTCTTCCGATATTTTGCTGTCATTTAAAAGCTTCTGTTGGGTTCGGATCCGATAGTAGCTTTCAGTTGCTTCTGAATTTATGATTTTGTTCAAGCAGCGGTGATTTATACTGCCGTGAAATCCATAAAATATCCAGCTCGTTTAAGCACTTTGCTTTAGTCATTTTCCTCATATTGCGCATTTCAGGTGAAACGAACAGGGAGCGGCATTTCACAAAATGTCGCTACTGATCAAGTTCGAGTCCAAGTCAGCGCGTGTCAAAGGTGAGAGCAGTTACTTAGAGGAGTCATCCACGGAAGTATCTCGTCCATAAATCACTGGCTTGAGGCCCATCATTCACGATATAACGAAGGAGCAAAGATATTGCGTGTGTTTTGGTAAAGAACTTGAAAAAGCGGAAGCGTTGTTACGCGTTCAAATTTCCGCCGCACATCTGTCACAAATGTTGGCAACGGAAAGGATTCCTTTGGCGTTACAAAGTGCCTTCACTATGAACTTTTTTTGGTCTTTTCCACCCTTTGGCATTGAAATTCTCATTTCTGCTGCATCCTAGTCTTTTGATCGTTTTCCTAAGTCAAATGCTCTGACCCGAATCTCTCAATGTGTCGTCTGAAACGTGGCGCACTTCTTTCCATGCTATTCCGCACGAACTACTTTCGATCGTCTACAGAGTATGGTTTTCGTGAGTTTGCTTCTCCTCGAACTGTATTTTGTGGTTTGAATCTTTGTACGCTGTTTTCAGCTATCGCAACTGACTTGTTCATTTGGGAAAGAATGGAAGAGTTTCCCGTACACGATTTCCTTAAATGTCATCTTTCAGTGAAATGAGAGAAACGCTTATTTTTTATTAGGTTTGGTAGAGTACATCTCCATCGTCTGCTTGTTGAGTAAGTAATCTTTGGTACACGTTTTAGCGGAGCAAAATTCATTGTTGAAGCGGATGATCAAGTTCAAAGATTAGTTTCAGCAATGTTAGGGCATTCAGTCGACATATTCCCAAGTAGGTGTTCAACAATTGGCGGAATTACACACTCAGAATCCTTTGACTTCGAGTTTTTTCTCACAATTGGATGGACCGAGGAAATGATAATCTTGTAGGCTGTATTGTGGGTGACAGTTTCCAACCCCGCAAAGCCAGGCCTACACGGGTAGTCGGGGAACTTCGACAGTCTTACAAATGCGGAACTAAATGCAGATTGCAAATTTATCCTTGATCATCGGCTGTCATGATCGTCTTTGACTGATCTCGGAATCCCAGTCTGAATCTGACATTTCTAAATAAGGTGTCGAGTGATATCCATTTCCCATTCTGTGTAACGATCGAGTGGAATGTCCGCCGTTTCGGTTTTGCGAAGACTTAACGATTTTCCCACGGGCGGTCTTGTTCGCATCGTCAAGTTCAAGTCATCGTCAAAAATAAACTCTTAAAAATAAGCACTCATTTCCGTTCGTGATTGTTCTGCCGGTGGTAGAAAATGGATGTGGTGGTCTTTTGGTCACACGCGTCTTTTATTCACATACATAGGTTTGGTGCACACGCTTGTCCACTGCTTAAAATGCACGAAAACCGTTTCGCCAACGACTTGTGGCTCGTTGAATTTTAATTGCTCTTACTTCTTTTCTTCATCCTTTTACGTGCTCTTATGGCCTTTTCCTCCCAGTCATTGAGTTACAGAAGGGAAATAGGGTATCAGGGCACTGACTGTCCGTTGACATTGTACATTTCAGGCATATCGTTTCATCCAACACGACCATGGGTTTTGGCGTCTTTGCACAGTGGCGTGATCCAGCTATGGGATTATCGAATGTGTGTGCTGCTCGACAAATTCGATGAGCACGATGGTCCCGTAAGAGGCATTTGTTTCCATCAGGACCAACCTATTTTTGTTTCCGGAGGAGATGACTATAAAATAAAGGTGTGTTCATAAAGGTTATCCATTATTGATCGTACTTATTCAAAATATTTCAGGTATGGAATTACAAGCAACGCCGTTGCATTTTCACTCTTCTCGGTCACTTGGACTACATCCGGTCGACATTTTTCCACCACAAATATCCATGGATCATTTCCTCATCGGATGATCAAACTGTTCGTATTTGGAATTGGCAATCGAGAAATTCTATCGCTATTCTCACTGGTTGGTTTCCCTCCATAATTCAAATTATGCAAATTTTCCAACATTCCTGCCCTTGTGATTGCTGCTTACATAAACAGCTCTAATGGCTTGAATTTGGGTTTGCGATAAGTCACTACAGAAGGCTCTCATCGGAAAAACATCCTAGTCATGGGGCAATACTTGGGGATCGTGGCTTTTTTTGCTTGTGATTCAATTTCAGCGCAACACTTTTTATGACTCAGACTCATAAGAAATTCAAATTTCACAAAATGCAAACTCTTTTCTAGGACACAATCATTATGTGATGTGTGCGCAGTTTCATCCTTCCGAAGATCTCGTAGCATCCGCATCACTTGATCAGACTGTTCGAATTTGGGATATCTCCGGTTTGCGTGAGTTTTTACTTTCGTAAGACACCATTCAGTTGGATTCATTTGTAATGAATTTAATCGAAGCTAAAGCGGTTTGAGTTTGATTGTAAGTAATGTTAAATGAAAATTTAGGAAAGAAACAGCTGCCTGGCGGTGGTGGCAGTGTGCCCAGATCGGGAACGGGACCACAGTCACAAGCTGACTTGTTTGGACAACCGGATGTCGTTGTTAAGCACGTGCTAGAAGGACATGACAGAGGTATTATTTTCATGGTTAATTAACATTTCATTCAAAAATGATATTTTGTAGGTGTAAACTGGGTGGCCTTCCATCATACTATGCCCATTCTTGTATCGGGTTCTGATGACCGTTTAGTGAAGCTGTGGAGGTACAACGAGTCCAAGGCGTGGGAGGTATGCGTAAAATTAGTAACATACCCATGAGGTTATGCCGTTTTCTTGTTTTCCATCAACGTTTCTGTAGGTGGATAGCTGTCGTGGCCACTACAATAACGTGTCGTCGGTTCTTTTCCATCCAAAAGCGGAGCTGATTCTCTCCAATTCAGAGGATAAGTCCATTAGAGTGTGGGATTTGCAGAAGAGGACCAGCCTCCACGTTTTTAGGTAAATCTTTTACTCAAGAAGCCTTTTCAAATATCTTTCCTGAATTTCTAATTTTAAGACATGAGAACGAGCGATTCTGGGTCTTGTCGGCTCATCCAAATCTCAACATGTTCGCAGCTGGCCATGACAATGGCATGATTGTATTCAAGATTCAACGCGAGAGACCGGCGTACTGCATTACTGAAAATCTTGCCTTCTATGTCAAGGACAAGCAACTTCGACGTCTTGATCTCACTACCAAGTAAGTGATCTCTGAAGTTGCTTGTTTTGTGAATTTGTTTGACATACTATTCCCCAAATGTCAGATTTTTCAAATTTTTGAACCCTTGTAGTCGTAGAAGGATAAAACTTGTTCAGTTACAAGTGAGTCCATTTTTCAGCAAGGATCAGGGAATGTGCAAACTTCGAGCTGCAGCTGCGTTCATGCAGCCCTATTATGCGCTGTCATACAATCCGGCCGAGAATGCGTTTTTGCTTTCCAGTCGCTCTCACAACAAAGAACAATGCTTCTACGACATCTACAGAGTTAGTTATTAGCTCCATTCGATGTCGCTTGTAATGTCTACCATGACCAAATGGTATAGAGGCATCATTCCCGTAATGAGCTAGAGAATTCATTCCATAAAGAATAGGGAATGTGAAGATCTTCAGAGGGAACAGTTTCACATTCTTCCAACGATTGCAGTTTCTTTTTATTCCCATCTATATTTCCTTTCTGTTTAGCCGGGGCAGCTTCAATAGGGACCATTAGGGTTCTTAGGTTTTTTCCAAGTTGACTAAAGATGCTCTTTGGGGGTCATCATTTCAGTACTGTATTTCAGATTTTTGATCACTTGACGATTGAACGACGTATTCAACTGAGAGTATGGCAGATTTTCAGAAATTAACCAAATGAGTGACCATTCTGAATCGTACTTTCTCATTGAGATCCCCATATTCATTCAAATTGACCTTTATGCCGAGCTTTGTTAGTGTGTTACCTATTGTAATTGCTCATTTGGGACCAGTTTTGAGTTTCTGCTTGTAGGTACCCAAAGATTCGGACGGAAACACGGAAGCACCAGTAAATCGTTCTCCTGGAATCGCTGCCGTCTGGGTTGCCCGTAATAGATATGCTGTCTTGGATAAGAACCAGCAGGTACTCGTGACATTAAAATTTGTGTGGTATTTATTTCTTAATGATCACTACGATTTTTTAAAGATTTCTCTTCGTGATCTGTCGAACAAGGAAGTGCGCAAGATCGAAATGAATATTCCCATTGACGATTTGTTCTTATGCGGGAACTGGTGTGATCCTGTTGAGAAATGAAGAGGGTCTACAGTTATTTGATGTTCAGCAGAAACGAGTGATGGCGCATGTTAAAGCCAGTAAGGTGTGGCATTTTGAATCTATACTGCTTGAAATTTTCTACAAATACTAAACTCAGCAGTAATTCTAGGTGCGATATGTAATCTGGTCAAAGAACATGGAGTATGGAGCGCTGCTTTCCAAGCATACCCTCACGCTCATAAATCGAAAATTGGAGGTGTGTTCCTTGATTTTCGGTCTTTGTTTTTTAGTCGTACAACTTTTCCGTTGGAGATCTGTCTTCTGTTCCCTTCCTACCTCGCTTTACTCACGTAGCCGTCAATCTCTTATCCTTGTTCGCAATTGTAAGAGCTTATTCAATACAAGTTCACTTTGGACGGGGAAAGGAAAGGGGGGACCAACTGTTGAAAGAAAATCTGATCCGGCTGTCTTACCACTTTTTGTGTCTTTTTACCATTGTTATTAATGAATCTTCGAGTGTTATTCGTATGAAGCTTACGGTGATTCAGGTGCTGTGCTCGCAACAAGAGTCTACACGCGTGAAAAGTGGTGCTTGGGACGATGACGGCGTTTTCTTGTACACTACTAGCAATCATATCAAGTAAGATTTCGTTTGATGTGACAAGGTGAAAATCTGTGACCAATCCATTCTCGCCTCTAAAGGTATGCTCTGACTGCTGGAGATTGTGGCATCGTTCGTACTCTCGACTTGCCCCTTTATGTCCTAGCCGTTCGTGGTAACATCTTGTACTGTTTGAATAGGTCAGTTATTTCTTTCTACTCTGCAGATTTTTAATGGGAAATGGGGTCAATTCAGAGAGGCGACACCCGTCGAGGTGCCGATTGATCCAACGGAGTATCGATTCAAATTGGCGCTGATTAATCGACGCATTGATGAGGTACTTTCTAAGGTTTGAAGAAATTTGATCCGAAAGTTAATTCTTCTGTTAAGGTGCTGAATATGGTGAAGAGCTCAACATTGGTTGGCCAATCGATTATCAGCTATCTAGAGAAGAAGGGTTATCCCGAAATTGCACTGCATTTCGTGAAGGACGAGCGAACTCGTTTTGGTCTTGCTCTTGAGTGCGGAAATCTCGATGTGGCTCTCGAGGCAGCCAAGGTTGGTTTCGACGGTTTATTTTAGCTTTTATTTAGTGTGGTATTTTGGCTCACACCAGTTCTTGTTTTCTTGAGCGATAGCGTTGAACTTTTAGATTTGCGATGACAAGTCTATATGGGAGGCCCTGGGTGAGGCAGCTCTGATTCAGGGTAATCACCAGGTCGTTGAGATGGCCTATCAAAGGACAAAGAACTTCGAAAAGTGGGTGCTCAGCAGATGCGTTGCATTTAGTCAATAATATTTTTTTATTTTGTCAGTAAGTAAAAAATTATTCTTCAGGCTGTCGTTCCTTTATCTTGTTACCGGCAACAGCGAGAAATTGTCAAAGATGATGAAGATTGCTCAGATGAGGAATGATGCTCACGGCCATTACCAAACGGCCCTGTATCTCGGGGACATCGAGGAAAGAATTAAAGGTAATTGTATCGCTGTTAATTTTAGCGATGTGTTCGCTTGTTTCGATTCATATATAATTTCAAATATCCTACCAGCCAATATTTAATATCTATTGTATTTGATTGTATTTGATCAAGAGATAGGATGTTGGATGAAACTCGAAGATGTGGCTCTTTCCAGAACTGTAAACTGTCGCTAAGTTAGACTCTTGATAACTTTCATATTTCAGTACTGAAAGGTGTTGGACAAACATCACTTGCCTATCTGACTGCAGCAACCCATGGTCACGAGGAAGAAGCGAATCTCTTGCGGGCTGAACTAGAATCTAAAGGACAAACTATTCCTCCTATTGATCCTAACGCTAAACTTTTAGTTCCACCTCCACCGATCTGCAAGGTATTAATTGATAAATACTTTCCTCGACCAGCTTTGAGTGATTCGTCTTTAGCTGGAGGAAAACTGGCCTCTGCTTGCAACTGCACGAGGTCCGTTCGAACTACTCGGTCTTGTTCCTCCAAGCAAAGCCGGAGCAGGAGTTTCTCACAAGCCGGCAGCGGCTGCGTTTGCTGTTGCGGATGATCTTGAGGTTGGTCATGAACAACTGTATAGGCTCTCAGGTTTCATATAGCCTGTTTATCTCTGTTATTTACTTCTCTTCGGAATAGGGCTACCAAAATAATTTCAGATGGAGGAAGGTGGCGCATGGGGAGAGGAAGGAGACTACCTTGTTGGTGAAGATGGAGAAATTGAAGTAAGTATGCATTGCAGTGCTTTGCTATTTCAGTGTTAAGTTGTGCTTACTGTGTTTATTTTTGCTATTGTTGAAATTATCTTTATTAATTGAACTGCTAAGGTTGATGATGATGACATTCTTGCTGGCACTGCTGAAGAGGGAGAAGCAGGGTGGGATGTCGAGGACGATTTGGCGATTCCCGATGTACCTGTAGGAGCTGGAGCTGAAGGTATTTTCAGTCTTCGTCATTAATTATTGGATTTCGTGATCTCTGTCGCTAGCTTTGGTTATTAAGACGTTGTTGTACCGAACCGTGCCCAGCCTCCACCTTCACATTGGCCGGCCAACAGCCGGCTTGTGGCAGATCATGTAGCAGCAGGATCGTTCGAATCTGCGCTTCGTCTGCTCCACGATCAGCTCGGTGTTGTGAATAAGAAGCCGTTTAAGGAAGTTTTCATGGCTACATTATGCCTGGTTCGTTGATTTTCATGTTTTGTCTTCACTTTTGTTCTAATTCTACAGTAATGGCCATGAGTTTTAGCTCACGTGTCACATTCACTGCATTGCCAAATACTAAAGTGCTTTTTGGATACCCTCTGAGAAATTGGCAGGAAGCGTCTGGAAAGTAAGTGAATTCTAGTTGATTTATTTATTGCCTTCACTCATAGCTATCATTTACAGGAGTGGTCTGCCAGCAGTTACGGTAACTTTAGCCGATTTGGCTGCGCGACTTCAAGGGTGCTATCATATGACAACCGCTGGTAAATTTGCCGATGCTATCGACAAGCTTCGTAAAATTCTTCTATTCGTTCCGATGCTCGTCGTCAGCTCGAAGCAAGAGGTAATTTACTTAGTATCTTGTTTACTTAAGGTTACTTTTGAGCTTTGTTAACCTTTGGGAGAGTGCCGTATTCAGGTAGCTGAGGCTGAACAGCTCATCGAAATATGTAGAAATTATTTGGTTGGGCTACTGATGGAGACGGCAAGAAAGGTAAGATTGGTTTAGCGACACTCCCATGGATTGTTACTGAGAAGCGTCTGTTTCTAGGAAATACCAAAGACCTCACCGGCTGAATTGAAACGAAATGCCGAAATGTTGGCATACTTCACGCATTGTGAACTTCAGCCGGTGCATCGGATTCTAACGCTAAGAACAGCAATAAATGCGTTCTTCAAGTTGAAGCAGATGCGAACTTGTGCATCGATGTGTAAACGACTTCTGGAACTTGGTAAGTAATCTCTTCGTCTTGCATGCAATGAAAACCTTGGGTAGTTTATTGGGTAGTAGCGCTGCAAACCATGCGCACGGTCCGGGGATCAAATCCTCACTGGTACGCCGCCCAGGACAACCGAAGACTTCCATCGTCTTTGGGTGGGATGAATTGTGCCAGAATTGTCTGTGTCTGTATAAACGCTGTTGTAATGTACTGGCTTCGCAACTGTAGGTTAATTGCATTCGAAATACCGCACGGTTCAATGGAGGTAATGCATGACCATGAAGGTACTAATTAACGTTGAAGGCTTCTGCTTTATTTTGTTCAGCCCTTAGTGGGCGATATAGGATCTCATCTGCTTTGATTAGATTCTTTTCTTTATGTGTAGTGGCAAGTGGCACGCTTACCACGCGAGCGGTCCGGGGATCAAATCCTGGGTCGTGAGTCGCCCGGGCCAACCAAGCCTTCCATCCCTCCGGGGTCGGTTAATTGGTACCAGACTTGTCTGGGAGGATAAAAACACTGACTTGTACATCGGCTGGCCCCGCAAGTCATTGTATAGGCCACATCGCATTCAAACGCCACTACGAATGTACAAATGGAAGTAGAATGCGTGCCGCATCCCAAAAAGGGATTGATCAACGGCAAATGCTTTATCCTTTTGCTTTTCTTTATGTAGGTAAAGAGCGTTACTTCGCCAAGGGTAACCGTGCCACGAGCGCGTTGAGTGACGTACTTTTCTTAATACGCCACTGCTCACGACGGCCCAGCTGAGGCTGAGGGATTGGGCTGCGTCGCTTGACTTGCCGCGTAAGTGACACATTCTGCGGTTGCGTTACCTTTAGAAATGTTAAGCTTTACATCTTTTTAGTGGAGGCTTTGTGGCGTTCATTTGTGCCACATGCCGCTCGATTGCTGCATTTTTTTCCGTTGTTTCACGCTTCAAAATGCGACAATAACTCAACGCAAAATCGCGGTGCAATTTGCTCCCTTTATTTTGGGCTGCGAGAAGCCATTTTGCGAAGCGCTTGATGTTAAGAGACTTGGCGCGAAACTGTGGTATTCGTTCATCCGAGAACAAATAGTATTTTTTTAATTAAGGTCCGAAGCCCGATGTTGCCGCTCAAGTCAGAAAAGTGCTCGCAGCAGCTGAACAGGACAATAAGGATCCCAATCAGGTGGGCAGTCTTTCCTTGGTCCTTTTCAGCGTTGTAGGCTTTTCACGATTCGAAGTAAAACCTGTATCTTCTTCCAGTTGGCCTACGACGAGCACAATCCATTCGTTGTTTGTTCGCGTAACTTTGTACCATTATACCGTGGAAAACCTCAATGCAAATGCCCATTCTGTGGAGCGTCGTTCTCTGTTGGTCTGGAGGGTACCGTATGTGATGTGTGTCAGGTAGCCGAAATTGGAAAGGATGTGATCGGGCTTCGAATTTCCACCCTACAAAAATAGGAACTGTTCATCCTATATGATTGCACTCACTTGTTTTACCTTCTCTTTTGTATAGGGGTTCCTAATGCTTGTTGTTATTATAATAGCCATCTATTTATTGTAGATAGAAAAGCCACAGTGCCAATCACCACATATATCAAGGCACATCCCGAATTTCACGGCAGGAAACGTTGTCGCTTGAAACGATGGCGTTTTCCTCCGGCTGTTATGGTTAAGGGTTATAATATACTTGAGAGAATTATTTATTATTAAAAACACGGTTGGACAATACAATTTTTCCGCTATATTTATTTTTGTGCTTTTAAAAATGTGATAAATTTGATTGTTTGACCAATGTGATAAAAGTTTCTTTTCGTTTATGTGCTGCACTAAAATGGGTCTGTGAGCCCTAGGAGACAAGGCGAGCCAAAATACACAGATGTCGATTTTTTCAAGGCCTTCGCCAAGTGTGACCTGTGTGTTCACTGAATGGTGACGCCTGTACGATCTTAAGAGAGAAGTTGTTTCTCATATGTATATGGCAATCAGTGGATGAGGTATGTAAAAGTTCGTCCAATTCGAACATCAATTTATCAGGGAGTATGCGAATGCAGGTAAGACACGAACAGGACGCCTCTTCAGCCCCAGGGCTACTACGCGTGATGCACAACGGGGCGCTAAACTACTGTGCTGGGCAGCTTTAGTTCACACCTCACTAATGCAGCGCCAGCAAAAGGGGGAGGGTATGTGGTACAAGTCGTGCCCCCAGCCGTTATTTCAATTTTTGCAGGGCAGGAAATTCTTTTAGTAAGTGAGGAACTTCGCTTTCGGTTTTATACCTGCCCTGGAATTTCCTCCCAGGGAGAACATTAACATTACTAACATTACAATAACAAATAACATCACTAAAATTAACATTACATTACTGTAAGCGACACAAACAGTCGACCACACGTCGACCCACATTCACTCCCCTTGGATTAGGCTAAAAGGAATCCTATCCAACAGAAAAATCACGATTCAATTTCAGCCATGATCCACTGGCTTGAGACCCATCATCCCACGATAAGAATGAAAAGAACAGAAAATTGCATTTGTTTTGGTAAAAAAAATTGAAAAATCGAAAGGGCTGCTACGCGTTCAAAGTGCCCACGGACGTCTTTCACAAATGCTGGCGACGGGATGCTTCCACTTGGTTCTTGGAGTGCCTTCACTAGAAACTCTTTCTGGCCTTTCTGCTTTATTGCATTCACATCTCACACTTCCTACTCAATCCTATTCTATCGATCGATTTGTCTCTACTCTCCGAAATCGATGCGCTTCAACTAGATTATTTCATTGCGTCGCCTGATACGTAGCCGGCCAAAGGTCAACTTCTTCCCATGCCTCACCTTTGGCTCCGCCCGAATACTCACGTTCCGTTAGAATGGATTTTTCCTTCGAAAGACTCAAAACGGCTTCCGAAAGCCTGCGTAAAATTTTGTGTATCGCATCTAGTGATCACAACTGATACATTTATGTTGAGAAAGAATGCAGGAATTTTCCGCAGAGGATTCCTTTAACCTTTCTCCGGCTGACCGCCTCTACGGGAAATCACTGCTTCCCGAAGCAACTCGATTAGTCTCTTTGTGAGCTTCAGCAAATAAGTATCGACGTCTATGACCCTCCACTGTAACCCTTCCACTTGTCTAAACAAAGATCCCAGTAAGATTTGATATTACTTAGTCGTGTATCCCTACTGTTTTTTATTAAACTAGCGCCTTTATGAAGCTATCACTATAAACTACTAGTTATTAGATTTGCTTGTAGGCCGTCGCCACTGTGTTGTAGAGTCTGTAGGCGATTTCCCTGGAAGTCGGGGTCTCAGGATCTCTAACAACCGTGAGGCCAAGCGATTCGGAATTTTGTAGTTCTGTCTGGGAGCTCTCACACATGCACACTATCACATCACCACTGCTTTCTATTTCCTTCAAAAGGTTAGTCCCTACAGGGTGCGCCAAAATCATAGCGACAGCGATTTCGAGTCGCCTAGAATGAACACGCCACAATTCCAGGAAGCCAAAAATGCAGTAACGTTCACTGTTCAATAATGAATCGTAAACATCTGCCAAATCTCAGAAATTCCTTCGTTGGCACTTATACGGGCCTTGAGAAGCAGTGAGGAACCATCGACGGTGGCACGCAAGCGGTGCGTAGAATCCATCCTACGCATTCTGGACCGTTTTCTCAATGAACCCAAAAATGTGAAGTTCCATGCAAGCCTTAGCGTACAGAATCGATCCCACAGTGTAATCCATTGATTTCGAATCTGAAGTGCTGACTGCCACTCGTCGAAAGAGGTGAAGTCGACATAATTGGCCTTGGACCAGTTCTGCACCATCATTGCCTTGTGAATGGGAGTTCCATTCTGCTGGAACATTTTTTAAGCTTAAGATGGCGAATTGCTTTGTAGAAAGTCTCAAATTCAAATAAGATAAAATAAATAGTCTTCTCTATCTCCATCTCTCGCGACATTCGGCGAACCGAGGGCGCCAAGTGCCACAAATTCTATCGCGCACCATGCTACGATTGCTCGTGGTCGTCACAGAAACACACCCTTCTCATCCAGAATGACTGCATTCGGTTCCTTATTCCTTGGAGCGTTTAGTGGATCCATGATTGGTACTGGGGTAACAACCAAAACGCTGATAATTTTTGCGTGCCGAAACTCAAAGTTGAAGTTCAGTGATCTAGAAATAGCGGCAGAATCACTCAGCCATCGTAACAATCATACATATTGGTGGTCAAACAAGATAATTATGAACAGGTCAACACAACAAAACCAAAATGAGCGCAGCAGTAAACAGCATCTTCGAATAGTGGTTGGAATTGTAGTTGTCGGCTACACTGTCGCTACAATAATTTCGAGCGCTCCGTTCTACGGGTATTCCTTTTCTTCTGCCTCACACTCCCCTTTGTTGACAGCCAGACTTTTCCAATCATGTAGTGGATAACCGGAGTCTGTGCGCGATTGGGAGCAAATTCTTATTGACATGCTTGAACAAGTGAAAGCGAAGTTTGTTTAGAAATCAGAAGTCAACTAGAAATATACAGAATCAACAAAGAACCCGGAAGCAAGGCGGATTGTGCGGGACCGCGACCACTGGGCCGAGGTAGCAACCAGGTGCAGAGCACAATCTTTTCTACGCTGAGCCACAAAGGCTCTCTCCTCGGAGCCATGGGGCTCTTCTCAGCAGGACTCTAAGGACAAGTCACCGAGCTACTGAGGCTGTTTATCTGGGCCACTCACTAACCAAAATCGCGAAGCGCGTCTAGGCTTGGATTACACGGCTCTGTATCCAAACGCTCAAAGAGGAGAGCGTAACCGAAAACAAGCCTTGTGTCTTCTTGGGACAGCCTTAAGAAATAATAGAAAGAGGATAGCTGACTAGTAGTGCACTTGTGGAGAGCTCCAGACATGACTCCATAAACGCTGAAACGTCAAGGCTTACGTTGACGGCTGTCTGAGACGCGTCTAGGCTTCCCGAAACGCTCACATGTGAGGCTCCTCATTTTTAGCGCCCTAAGCAATACTCAAGCATAGATCCCCCCTCCTCTCCTGCGGTCCTGGCCTTACAGTACTAAGAATATGTGCCACACAGGCGCACCGAGTGGCCTTAGCGTTCTCTTTCCTGTGTTCAGGTCCCGAAAATGTGCGACGCGCGTCTATTCGCATGAATCCAGCTCAGTGACTAAGCCTAGCGCTCAATCATAGCTCAGACAGTGAGCCAATTTTGTGTGGCATAATCCTACTCTATATCCGACCCAAACTTGACATTAAGCTGCAACGGTCGTGCAACTGTGGTGACCTGACCCCAGGAGGAGAAACGCACATCTCCCACGCACCACACAGACACCGAAGAAAGGAAGTGGAGCTGTATACAGGATCACTGCAGGTAGAAATTTGAAATGTCAGGAACCACTGCAACAACCCCAACCCTGCGTTCGGATCCCTTTTATTGGGAGATCCCCGCACCGGAGTGGTTCCTCTGCGGAGAAGTGGTCTCTTAGATCTCCCGCGCTCACCGACCCTCACGATGCCAACAACTACCTGCCTCCTCGCACCATCTTACAAGTGTTCATTACAGCTGATCTCTTGAGCCGCGCACGTCCTCGTTGGGCACCGAAGCCGGAGACCGAGTATCCTGATTAAACAGTACAGCACTTATAAAATTGAATCTAATTTATTTTATACAAGGAATCGTTCTATCATTATAATACACTTTCTGAAACAAAATTAATGCCCGCCTCCTTAATGTCTGTTCTTCCTTTCTGAACCAGCCACCTTGCAGTACTTCAATTGGAATTGTGTCAAAGAGAAAAACAGCAAAAGTAGGCAACATTATCACGTATCTTTTCCTTTTTTTCTTCTCTTTTTCTTTCTGAAAAAAGTAAGTTAAGATTAGCTGGTCATGCGAACTCATTTACGATGGGAATTCCGCACCGCACGGTTGCGTTGCGGTCGTTTTACGTTCTCAGTACGGCTACTACATGCGCAACGCGGGAAATAAAATCCTTATGGATGAGTTTTAGGCGTTGGATACGGAGGCATCCTCGAAACTAAGTCCAGGAGGGGCAAGAAGTTCGGGAAGAGTGGGAATCGCTCATTCACCCTAGATCCTTTTCTCAGTCGCATAAGGCAGCGTTTAGAGGACGATCGTACGTGTGATGGGGCGATTAGGCGATTAGGCATCGCCTGAATGCGGCGGACAACAATCAATACTTATGCCTACTCGCCTACTCGCCTAACTACTCGCCTACTCGCCTACTCGCCTAATCGCCTAATCGATACGTATACTTTTTTTTTAATCATCGCCTAATCGCCTAATCGCACTACGATCGCCAACTATGAACGCTCCATTAGTCAACATTTTAGCAATGTGTTTTACGCGGTGCTTAGGGAGAGGAAGGGATTCTGAGGGGTGATGTGAGCATTTTTTGCTAACACTGGGCCCAAACCGCTCAAGATCGTCAAAAATGGA